ATAAGAGACAGGGTGGAGACCCCCCCCTCCTCAGAGCGAGAGGCTGCAGCATCCCTGCTCTGAGCAGGGGGGAACAACAGCCCCAAGAGTCATCCTCTGTGGGGTGGGGGGGCCACCATCCCCTGCCCCCCCTTCACCCCCTCCCTGTCCCCCGGGACCTCGCGCCGGCCGCCAGCCCGGGGACGGGGCGCTGCTGGCCCTGGGGTGGTATGGATGCTATAGGGGGGGCATGTGTAACCCCGGGTACGGGGCGGGGGGGGCGTTAACGGTGCTGCCTGGCTGTATATAGGGGTCTGCGCAACACGGCGGGGGCCCTTCTGTATAGGGGGGGTCTGGGTGTAACCCTGGGGCGTCCGCGCCTGTATGGGGGGGGGGCGTATAAAGTCCTGGGTACCAGCTCTATATGGGGGTGTGTGTAACCCCTGGTGTCTGCCTCTCTATAGGGGGTATAGCCAACTCCTGGGTGACCCGCTCTGCATAAGGGGCTTTATATAGGGGTATATCCAACTCCTGGGTGTTCTGCTCCGTGTAAGGGTCTGTATAGCCCCTGGGCATCCTGCTCTGTGCAAGGAGCTTTATATAGGGAGTATATACAGCTCCTGGATGTCCTGCTCTCTGTAAGGATATACATAACCCAGTGTCCTGCTCTCTGTAGGGTATGTGTAAGTCCCAGGGGCTCAGCTCTCTATAGCGGCTGTATATAACTCCCAGGTGTCCTGCTCTCCATAAGGGATAACGCCTGATGCCCAAAGGGGATGTATAAGCCCTGGGTGCCCAGCTCTCTATAGGGGCTGTATATAACCCTGGGTATCCAGCTCTCTCCAGGCAGTAGTTAAACACTGGATACCTGCTGGTGTATAGGGGCTATATATAACCCCTGGGTGTCCTGCTCCATGTAAGGGATAACCCCTGCTGTCCAGCTCTATAGAGGGCTATATAGCACTTGGATGGCCAGTTCTGCATAGGGATGTATATGAACCCTGGGTTCCCAGCTGGGTATGGGGGCCGTATATAGCCCCTGGCTGTCCAGCCCTGTGTCGGTGGGTATATGTAACCCTGGGGAGTCCAGTGGCTATAGGGGTAACCCCTGGGTCCCCAGCTCTGTATATGTAACCCTCTGTTGTCCAGCACCGTATAAGGGTAACCCCCACATCCCCAGTCCCATATAGGGGGTATATGTAACCCTTGGGACTCCAGTTTTGTATAGGGGTAACCCCTGGATCCCCCATTCTGTACAGGGGCTGTATATAACCTGTGGCTCTCCAGTCCCGTATAAGGGGTGTATGTAACCCTTGGCTGTCCAGCTCCCTATAGGCATAACCTCCGGGTCCCCAACCCTATATAGGAGGTATATATACCCCCAAGCTTTGTACAGGGAATATATATCTCCCCCTGGCTCTCCAGCCCCATATAGGGAATAACCATGGGTCCCCAGCCAGCCCTGTATAGGGAGTATATAGGACCCCTGAGTCCCAAGCCCCATATAGTGGGTATATATCTCCCCTGGCTGT